GGTCGGGGCGTGACAGTTCTCCAACGAAACTTGTTCGCACTGCCAGAGGATCGGCATCCTCAGATCGCAGCAAGAACGAGCTTACATACATGCAAGTGAGTTAGAAGAGTCTCATGATTCTCTAAACCTCCCTGCAGGATGGTGATACGGAGGAGAGAGAAGACAAACCTTATTGGATAATAGGTGAAAAGGAATAATTTGCTAAAATCATGCTTGTCTTTCTGGTTAACAGGGTCGATTTGTAGTAGTAATGGTACATCGCACATTAACAATCGAAATAAGGTCAGAGGAAACAAAATCTAACCAGAACAGGGATATGCCGACATTAAACACTAAAGAGAACCGTTTGATTGACCTCATTCCCACAAAACTAAGCTCCTTGCTTTAAAAGGCTCCAACAACAGTGTTCACCAATGAGGTGACTTTTCATGGAAAACAGGAAAGACCACAGCAAACGATGTGATCTACCACTACGGAAGATTATGAGGAAATCAGCTCATCATTTGCACTTCGCTATTGGCTTCTTGGCCAAGAGACTGTCTATGAAGAGTACTTCCTTTGGTAGAGAGGGTTTGCAGCGGAACCTAAATCTTGGGGTAATTGCAGCAAGCAAGCAGAAACCTAAACAACTTCAACTTTTCATTTCGAAGCTAGATAGATATAAAAGAGCTTAGAGGTCGAAATTTCTTTTGAAGGAGAGATGGTTTCAAACTTTGAACTCTCAGTCTTCATTTGTAAACTACTTTTGTTTTCCTAGAACAAATATTTCGCCCGCAATTAATCACATATTCATTATTTCCCTGCAAATAAGATTCTTTACCTCTTAAAGAAAGATTTGTACGATCATTAAGCTGAAACTATCCTCCAGCTAGTGAAAGAAAAGCACAGTAATAAGAATTCATCCATTTGACCAAGGCAAAGAAAAATCCATGATATCTAATAGGACTAATGGAAAGCACCCCGTAAAGTAGCTCCCTCTCATTGGATAACTCTACCAACGCTCATAGAACCCACAATGACAGTAGCCATAAAGACTAATCTCAATTCAAGTGCGTTAAATGGTCTTTGAAGCCTTCAGGGTGCAAACCAGCGCAATAGTAGACAGAGATATTGCAGTGATTTAGCCAAAAGTTAAAAGTGGATAAATCATGTTGATTAGAAAAATCGCTTCTTGAAGGAATTTCAGCATCGGACCAGACCTCCCTAGCTCAGTCACCAACTGCCAGACCCCACACAGATTACTGATATCACTCGAGATCTAGCCAGCATTAATTCATCAATCCCATCATAATCAAAGGAGCAAGGCCAGAGATGCAATTACAAATTTAATACAGTATGCAGTCAGCTCCCTTAGGTCAAAACTTAAGGTCAATACAAGGCTCCTACAATGCTTGCCATAATGATTTCCATGGCAATGGCCACAAAGACAGACTTAACTGAATCCTTTTAAGGAATACAACACTGGTGGACTTTAGGACCTACAAAGGACCGTTGTAAGAAATTATACAAGGCTTGTATCCATTCACATATCCAGTTTTGAGTCTGGGTTATCACACTCAATCTGAAAAGGGTAACATCGACCCAGCTTCTATAAGCTCTTCAGATGAAATTACTAAACCAACAACTACAGACAAGAATGATGCAAACAATAACCCAAACTCTGCTGCTCGCTAGAGAAAGTGTTCGCAAAACACAGTAAAAAAACACGATGCTGCTCAAGAACTCAAAATGAACTAGCCAATTGCTTTTCTACTTTGTGACCTTACCATATATATCAAAATTAACTTGCTTGAACACAATTGAAATCATAAGAGAGGAATTCAGAGCAAATAGAGAGAAAAGTTTAAAGAGTAAATCTAGTTTCCTGCTCATGTGAGAGCATTTGCAAAAGATTGGCATGTCTTAAGCGAACAAATATAACAATAGGTTAACTTTTTTATCACCTTCACGCTGCCTTCTCTCTAATCTTTCCTTCTCCTGTTGCATCTTCACAGGATCAGCCTTATCGCACTGTAACTACAAAAGGCATCTATAAAACAACCGTTAGGATACACTTCACAGCATCATCTATTGCCAACAAAACGCATACATGATCTAGTAGTGTCTTCTGTTGCACCTTTAAGATGGTGTCAGCAAAGCGACTCTTTAACATAGCAGCACGCAGGGCCTTTTTAGGGACAGGAGCACTCCACGCTGATAGAATATCATTATGGATCATTCTCCTGCTTTCTTGAATGGCCAAAATATATCTCAACCGACAATTCACGGCATACTAACCTTCCCCACATGTGGCATCCGTAGATGGAGTTGCAAGGTGGGAACTAGGACAGACATTTCCATCATCCACAGCACTTACAGCCCCTTTTGAGTATTTCCGGAACCAAATTGAATGATCGTTGTAACATTGAACAACTTCAAAGATCACAAATCCGAAAGATGCACTTACCATCGGAATCTGGATAGATTTACCGGTCTGCACTATAGATGAGCTCCTAGCCTAACGAAGTGCAAAACAAAAATAGACGATGAATAAATATTATACCTGAAATGGAGCTTTAGTAAATGGATCAAGATCACCTTCTACAATACCTATGGCCATGTGTTGCTATATGAATGTATTTTCAGTTAAAGTTTTGTCTAAATTACACATCATCCATAACAAGCTATTATAATAAACTAAATATCGAGATTAGTTCTATAAAGAGGATATGGTCCTAGGAACTCCAACTCATCTTCAGCAACATTTGATATATCGGATAAATGTACAATGGCTTTACTAATAGGATCATAGACCTTTGATGCTGAAAAGTCACTATGGCCTTTTGGAATAAGTATTCATAAGTTGGAGGAACTTCAATATTGGAATTTTTCAAGAGCTCAATCACTTGTACTAAATGAATGCTGGAGTTACAAAGAAAGAGACAGAAAAATTTATCTAATGATTAAAAGCCTCTTCAAGGGTATATAACCAACTGTATGATCACTTTATCATAAATTTTTTAATGTTTTGAAGAGTGCATGCGTTATTGCATATTAATGTTCGAGAGTGATTGCAAATAGTCACAAACGCACAATATGCAAATCTCAAAAACCATATGCTTAGTAAATCCAGCAAAACCGTTGCTCTGATGTAGCTTGGAGTACTTGAACTCAACTCCATGCCCAAACTTGTCCATTTTGAAGATTATCTGAAAAATTAAACATATACAGCATAAAACACTCAATAAAGTGGGTCAAAAAAGCTATAGTTTGCTTAGTGGTTGCGTGTTGTAATGGATAAGATATAGCAAGATGTAGCTACTGGATAACTCACCTGGGACAGCCGAATGGTATAAGACCCGAGTCCTCTGTGATTACAGCACGGACCTGTTTACTGACTGCCAAGAAAGTCATTTGAGCATCCGCCTCATAAGGAACAACAACATAAGAAATTATCCTGCTTTGGAACCTTCCACATGCAACCAATCCAATGAAGATGCGATAAATTAATTAGAAATGACAATTTAACTTACTTTTACCACATTACATGACCGGGAGTATTTTTCATACCTGAATTAGCTCATGTGCCATGGTGTGATGTCTACTGCTTTTTGATAGCACTCATAAGCAGCAGCACCATTTCCATTTTGACTCGTGCTCAATAGCACAAGCAAAATTTTGCTTTCTAAACCTACGTAAGCAAGGTAGTCATAGTCCTTCAGTGACTGTACACATGATTGTAAAACTTGAAAAAACCTGCCCTAAATATCCAAACTGGATGGGCTCGGTCGATTCTACGAGACTTCTATTATCCTAGGGAAGGTCCAGATGTTTCCAAGTTTTGCAATCATGTTTAGAATCACTAAAGGTTTATGACAACCTTGCTTACATAAGTCAAGGAAGAAAAAACTTGCTCGTGCTATTGAGCACGAGTCAAATGGAAATGCCGATGCTGCTTATCAGTGCTATAAAAAAGCAGTAGACATCACACCTTCCATAGCACATAAGCTAATCAAGATATGAAAGATACTCTTGGTCACGCAATGTGTGGTTAAAATAAGTTAAAGTATCATTCATGATGAATTTATCGCATCTGGATTGGTATGGTTGCATGTGGAAGGTCTTGAAGCGGGAGAACATTTCTTATAATGTTGCCCCTTTACGAGGCGGATGCTCAAATCGCTCTATAGGCAATCAATGAATGGGTCGATGCTGTAATCACAGAGGACACGGATTTTATATACCAGAGTGAGTAATCTAGTAACTGCTTCTTGCTAAATCTTATTCATTGCAACACGCAACACCTACGCAAACTATAGCCTTTTCGACCCACTTTATTGAGTGTTTTCTGTGGTTGTATATGTTTAATTTTTCAGATAATCTTCACAAGTTTGAGCATGAAGTTGATTTCAAGTACTCCAATCTACTACAAAACAACAGAGATTTTGATGGATTTACTAAGCAAATGGTTCTTAAGATGTGCATATTGAGCGGTTGTGACTATTTGCAATCACTCCCTAACATTAATCTACAATCAGCGCATGATTTCATCAAAACATTCAAAACTTATGTTAAAGTGAGCATACATTTGGTTATATACCCTTAATGAACAGGCTTTCAATCATCAGATAAATATTTTGTCTCTTTCTTTGTAACTCCAGAAATCATTAGATACAACTGATTGAGTACTTGAAAGATTCCAATACTAAAGTTCTTCCAACTTATGAAGACTTATTTCGAAAGACCATGTTGACTTTTCAACATCAAAGGGTCTATGATCCGATTAGTAAAGTCATTGTACATCTATCCAATATATCAAACGTTGCTAATGATGAGTTGGAGTTCCTAGTACCATATCATTTTTATGGAACTAATATGGATATTCAGTTTATTATAATAGCTTGTCATGAATGATGTGCAATTTAGACAAAACCTTAACTGGAAATACATTGATACAGCAATGCAGAAGGTGATCTTGATCCACTTATTCCATTTCAGGTATAAAATTTATTCATCGTCTATTTTCGTTTTGCACTTCTTTTCTCCTCCTCTTCAAGTTTCTTCTAAAGTGCCTGAAACTGCTAATTTTCCTGTGTATTTAAGGAATATAATGCCGTAAATACTATCTCCCAAGGTGCAGAATGCCAGCTGATTGAGGAAATATTTCAATTTAGAAAGAAATTCCCTGAGCAGATACATCATTTAAATTGATCTTTCGAAAGCCAACGAAGGTTGAAGCTTGAACGGAAGATATTTGATAAGTTAGATAATTCAAGGCAGACATCTTCCTAATGAAACGTAGAACAATAGGGAGATTTACATAAAGATTTTCCGAACATCTTCTCAGCATTCCTGACTTGAAAGTACTCCTTTTTTATCATTTACTTCACATTCTTTTTTCTTTTCTTGAATGCTTAAGGCTGTGTAACTAAAAACATCGACACTACAAAATTTTGTTTTACTAAGGCAAAAGACCTTTTCTTGACACTATTTACCATGATCTTTTTGGCTGCAAGAATGTTATTAGAAAGACACAAGAATCACAGCTGAAGTTCTTAGGAATTGAAAGGTTCTCATGTAACGTGAATAATTCAATGCAGGAAGTTTCATTAACATAAAGGATTGTGACGATGAGGACCTTTGCTTCTAAAACAATTCCATAGTGAAAATTTGAAAGAATGGTTTCGTAACACAAGATAGTAAGGTTTGATAGTCCTCTGCAATAACATGCACTGTCTTAATTCCATACACAAGTATAAAGTTGACTACGGTTAAATACGAAAAGCATATGTTAAAGAAATTACGTGGGGAAACTTATTATTACTATGTTTTCAATAACATTTGGAGTGGCTGGTAGAATTATCTCATACCTGGATCAAGAAAACCACGTAGAATAGTTGATGGACATCCCCCTGCATATTTCAATGCGTTGACTAATACATTTAAGCATGGTTTTGATTTTTGATACCATAAGTGAGAGGTCAATGGTGCATACTCGATAATGCTCAAATGACTTCACATATTTCCCATTTTGACAGGGCAAGGATGGCGAAGTTGAAGAACCACACCGCTCACAACCAGTCCTACAAGGCCCACAAGAACAGCATCAGCAAACGATGTGATCTACTTGTAAGCTACTTTTATTTTCCCCCACAAATAAGATTCTTTACCCCTTAAGCACAGTAACAAGAATTCGTCCATTTGACCTAGGCAAAGAAAAATCCATGATATCTAGTAGGACTAATGGAAAGCACCCCAGTAAAGTAGCTCCCTCTCATTGGATAACTCTACCAACGCTCATAGAACCCACAATGACAGTAGCCATAAAGATTAATCTCAATTCAAGAGCATTATAAGGTCTTGGAAGCCTTCAGGGTGCAAACCAGAGCAGTAGTACACATAGATATTGTCGATGATTTAGCCAAAAGTTAAGAGTGGATAAATGATATTGATTTAAAAAATCTCTTGTTGAAGAAATTTCAGCATCGGACCGGACCTCCCTCGCTCAGACACCAACTCCCAGACCCCACACAGATTACTGATATCACTCAAGATCTAGCCAGCATTAATTCATCAATCCCATCATAATTTAAGGAGCAAGGCCAGAGATGCAATTACAAATTTAATACAGTATGCAGCCAGCTCCCTTAGGTCAAAACTTAAGGTCAATACAAAGCTCCTACAATGCTTGCCAAATTGACTTCCATGGCAATGGCCACAAAGACAGACTTAACTGAATCCTTTTAAGGAATACAACACTGGTGGACTTTAGGACCTACAAAGGACCATTGTAAGAAAATATACAAGACTTGTGTCCATTCACATAACCAGTTTTGAGTCTGCGTTATCACACTCAAATCTGAAAAGGGTAACATCGACCCAACTTCTATAAGCTCTTCAGATGAAATTACTAAACCAACAACCACAGACAAGAACGATGCAAACAATAACCCAAACTCTGCTGCTCGCTAGAGAAAGTGTTTGCAAAACACAATAAAAAAAACACGATGCTGCTCAAGAACTCAAAATGAACTAGCCAATTGCTTTTCTACTTTGTGAACTTACCATATATATCAAAATTGACTTGCTTGAACACAATTAAAAATCATAAGAGAGGAATTCAGAGCAAATAGAGAGAAAAGTTTAAAGAGTAAATCTAGTTCCCTGCTCATGTGAGAGCATTTGCAAAAGATTGGCACATGTCTTAAGCGAACAAAATATAACAATAGGTTAACTTTTTTATCACCTTCACACTGCCTTCTCTCTAATCTTTCCTTCTCCTGTTGCATCTTCACAGGATCAGCCTTATCGCACTGTAATTACAAAAAGCATCTATAAAACAACCGTTAGGATACACTTCATAGCATCATCTATTGCCAACAAAATGCATACATGATCTAGTAGTGTCTTCTGTTGCACCTTTAAGATGGTGTCAGCAAAGCGACTCTTTAACATAGCAGCACGCAGGGCCTTTTTAGGTGACAGCTGTATGTCAAGGACAGAAGCACTCCACCCTCATACAGTATCATTATGGCTCATTCTCCTGCTTTCTTGAATGGACAAAATATATCTCAACCTACGATTCACGGCATACTAACCTTCCCCACATGTGGCATCCGTAGATGGAGTTGCAAGGTGGGAACTAATACAGACATTTCCATCGTCTTCAGCACTTACAGCCCCTTTGAGTATTTCCAGAACCAAATTGAATGATCATTGTAACATTGAACTTCAAACATCACAAATCCGAAAGATGCACTTACCATCAGAATCTGGATCAGATTTACTGGTCTGCATGCAGTCTGCACTATAGACGAGTTCCTTGCCTAAAATTGCAAGTTCAGGTAGCAATTTTCAGCACCAAATCAAATGGCATACGAACAGAACTGTTCAACTTATCAAAAAGAAATACATTAAAATCTAGATATACCAGTCTTGGAGCATCAATAGTACATTCACGATCTCGGCCCTTCTCTGAAGGTAAATCCAAAAAGCTAACAAACATATAATTAGTGCTCCATAGATACCAAAATAACAGCTCCTTAAATAGAGACAGAAAAGGAAGATTATTTACCCATTGAAGATGCACAAGGCGGTCCAGCAACGCTGCATCAGCATGTTGTATCGCCACATGCATTACACTTGGAGCAGCAAGTATGTCCACTAACACCATCAGTGCCTGTAAGACACAGTGGCAATTAGATCTAGAAGAGAGCTACTAGAGGAGAAATTATACTCTGCCACTTCATTACCTTTGTCGTTATTTCCTAATGACTTGGTTGTGCAACTCTGTACAACTTTAGAAACCTTGACCTGCTCAGGAACCAGTTAACCACAAATTAATATATTTCTGATACAATGGATGCAAACCTCAGTCGACAAAATCTAAACAACAAATACAATCTGCTGGTAAGAATACTGGCTAATGTTTCCCAATTGAATTAAATTTAGGAAAATAATAACATCCCGAACATCTATTCCTGCAGTGAACAATGCTCACCTTTAACAAAATAGCATCACAGTTTTTCTTTACCATCTCTTCAGTTTGCATCCTGTTTTGAGGCAAACTGGTGCACTGAGGAGGTGTCTTGGGACACGGCACTGCTTTCTCTACTTCGTGTACTCAATACGGACCCCTTCACTATTCTAGTGTCTCCATTGCTCCACTTTGCCTCAAGAGCTTTCCATCCCGTCTCAAAGATCTTATTCAACTTATCTGCCATTATATGTACTTTATAGCTCGGTGGATTGGAGCACATGGCATTACAAAAGGTCAACCTAATATCAGCAGCAAATTCTTCTGTTCCATGATACATATTTTTCTCGAGCTTAGATTTTATTGTCCCTAAATCCATTGGCTCTGATATGATTGAGAAGTAATCTGGTATGTTTAGCTTTACTGGATCGACTGGTTGGTTGAAAGGCCAACCACATGGATGGTGCATTAGTCTCTTTAAAATGGCAGAACATTGTTGCGTGACAGCTCGATCCATCCTTTGTCTCTTCTTTGCAACTTCAACCCGTACTTGAGGTCCGCGATTATTAACAGCAGAGACAGAACTTCCAAACTTTGTACAATCACCAGCATCAGCCTCGATTTTAGAAGGCAAATTGCCATTCTTCTCCTTTCCATTCACAGCGCCAGAAGTCCAATCATCAATAAGCAGCTTCTGCTGCCCATATCCACATGATCCGGATTGGTGTTCTGCTTCGATTCTTCTTCCAGAAAACTTTATCTTCACCTTCTTAACAACTGCACTTTCCATCGCTATCATCATGATGCAATAGAAAACCAACAAGTGCTGCTCAGAATGATTTGCTCTTCAGGGCTATGACAATCAGCCTTCTCAATTGTTGGACATACCTACAACTGAGGAAAGCCAAACAAGGGAAAGAGGAATGAAAAAAAATTAGTACAACTGAAGCATACAAACCATGAGACTGAAAACAATTTCAAAACCGTAACCCATGCACAACAAAAATTGCAATCACTGAAGGCAGAGTCAAAACACACTAAACTAAAGAATAAGAGCATAACCTTGAAGACAAAAACCGATGATTCCGAAAAAATCGGCAACACCCAAGAGTTCAACCACACACAAGAAGAACCCAAACCCACAAATAATAGCATCGAAGTCAAGTTCGCTTGCACCCACCACGAGAACTTCTCCCTAATTCCTCTTTCTTAATTTATTACAAGCACTCTAAAACAAAAATTTTATGCACAATCCTATTTGGATAAAGAAATGGCTCAAACAAGGTATGTTAAATTTTCAAGAGAATAAAAATAAAGATATCTTCTCCCCCAAAAGAGCTTCTTTTCCTATTCTGTAAACAGCCTAGCAATACCATTCTAATTCCAAAACCAAGAAAAGGACACTTGCCATGAAAAACAGTCTACATACCACAGAGTGAGGTACTATTAAAATATACGCCTAACGAGAAGAACAACAACCAACTCTTTTTCCATTATATCGTTGCTCTTACATGATGGACCTCTATTTAGTATCAAATCTTCCTTCGATATACACTGAAGAAAGAGAAAATGTAGTGAAGTCCTTAGTAACTAGCAAAACCTAGGCCATCACAGAGAAGAAATACGACACTCAACCAATAACAAACTATTAGCTTGGGAAATAACCTTCCATCATGACCCTACATCACTGGACAAAGCATTTGACTGGAAACCATAAAATGCTCTACGCTATTATTCATAAAGAACATCAAATCAGAGAATCAGAGAGAATCTAAAGGCATTGTATCACCTACATCACTCCAATACACAAGAATTGAAGTCTACTCTCAAAACAAAGAAACATCCTCTTCAATGGAGATCCATGCATGCCCACGTCCATGCACAGAAGAATGAGAAGACAATATAATTGGAACCACCTGCACCAAAATTAAGAAATTCAACCACGCACCAGCACCATGATAAAAAGGGACAGAACCACAAAAGTGATGACCATGGAGTGCTCCTAACTCGATTCTATCTAACTCAGACCTGACTCTTCTACTTGTGATGCTCATCAAGAAAAAATGCAATCAGCATGGTTTAGAATCTTTAGATGCATAGGGCAAACCTAAGCTCAAAGTACCTCACATATGTCATTCAGCATATAATAGCACAATCAAGAAAAAGCTAGCACCAGACCCATACAAATCGAGACCGATAAATTATATTTGTTTGACAAGAATGTATCTTACATAGCAAGCAACAAAAATTGAATGAGATTACAAATCCAAATAATTTCTTCCACATGGAGAACGTTGCCCAAAAGAAATTTACACCAATTAAGATGCACTGGCTTATAAATACGATTTGATTGAGCAAAAAATTTGAAATCTCTAACACCAATGCAGGCACAAAGCAGACCAGCATATGAGCATAAATGCAGACCAGAAAAATGTTCGAGAGACAATGATGTACATGCTTAGACAACCCACGCAGGAATAAATATGTGCATGAATTTTCGGCACTTTCAGTCCAAAAAACCAATGACACCAACCTAAAACCATGTATTGTGATTGTGGCCCAGAGAAAGGCTGGAAGGGTAACACAGTGAACGCACGGTCATGGAAATTTAGTAAGTAGTCCGTCCACAACATTTCAAATAAGCAGCTGGACATAAGGAAGAAACTCACCATGCAATGAAAAAGATCTTGCTCTTTTGACATTTTGCAGAAGTTACAAAGTCGAAGTCATAGACAGCATATCGGCAGTCATTCTCTGGCAAAGAGGAGGTACAATCTTCATATCTTTCAGCGGCACCTCCAGTCTTCTCAACCACAACCTCCTTTTTCTTCTCATCGATCTTAAAAATCAAATAGCGGTGAACCTTCTTCTCTGCAGTTCCAGATAAGTGATTTTGCTGTGTTCCTCTACACCCATTCCAGACTAAGCATTTGTCTGATCAACAGAGATTTTCAGTTTTTACCCTCTACAATAGCCATTTAACAAAAGAAAAAACAAAAAAAGGAGATACGGAAATATCATCATTATAATTCTAACAAAACCACAATCCTAAAAGATAAGTCCATACCAATGTAGATGCAAATGCATAGAAATCGTCTTACTGATGGTTCTAGCAACTACCGTCCCGGCTTTCACAGCTTCTTTTTTCAGCTTTTACGGGTTAACGCAGACAAAGTGAACAAGAACATTAAATAGCTAACGATGATGAGATAAACAACACAAGAGACCTTCGATTTAAAGATTCCATCCTACCAAAAAGGGAATCTCTTCTTCTAAAGAAAGAAAGCTATTCCAAGCTAAAACGATTTTGCCCAACAAAAGAAGTCCAAACCAAAGCAAAACCCAGACAAAACGAAACCAAGAGCAGCTTACAAATTTGAAGAAGCAAACCGACTAGATCTAACAAGAGAAATCCACGTAGCGAAGAGAGCAAAGCAAACATAACCAGTAGAATCAATGAAAACAGAGCTTACCCCTCTGAACGACACGGCTGTTGTAAAATATCACGAAATAAAAATTCACAATCAACGGCATTTCTCTTTTGATTGTAATAAAATCATTTAGGTCTTTGTAAGATATCTTAAAATAAACATAAATGCATTTTACATTTAATGAAAAGGCTTAACTTTTACAAAACGTCGCAAAACTCGATTATTTTAATCCCATAACGGTAGGATATTTATTTGTAATTGAGTGAAAATACCGTAGATACTGATTTTTTTTTTGGGTTTTAAAACGCTATGCGGTAATCAAATTAGTTGGGTTTTTACATAATTTCATGAAATTAATATACTTTGTTTCGCTCAACCAATCACAAAAGAACATTAAAAAAATCAAGCACAAAAGTATTTTAAGAAAAATTCCATCCCAAAAGTTCAAAAATATATCGCCTTGTTTCTTCACCGTCGCGCCTCCTCTACCTGGAGTCCCTCCCTCCATCTAAGGCTAGTGGGCCTCCTTTTGCTCACCCTTAGTTTAGGGTAAGCGAGGGTTTCCAGTGGGGTGGGTGGGAGGGAGGAGGATGTTGCGTCCCGAGCCAGCCCATTAGGGGTAGGCGAGAGTATTGTCTCGATTCTGTTTTGTCCACTAAGTGAGCATGAAAGAGAACCCTGACACATGTTATAAGAGACATGATCCGTTGATTGCTAGAACCCATCAAAGGTGATTCTAATTCTAATTATTTATTTTAAAAGTGAAGCTAAGTCTAAATTGATTTTGCTAATTAGAGCCTAAGTTTGCTAATTGACTAGCTAAAAATCTTAACTAAAGTTTGTTACAAAATGATTAAGACCGGCGTGGATATCGGTCGACCACCGCCAGAGAGAAACTCTAGAGAGAAAGTTGTGATTTCTATTGCTCTTGTGAGAATGAGATGTATAAATGAGGAGAAGGAGACCCTTTATATATAACTACATGCTCAATCATATCCGTAGATCTCTCCTCGATTTAACGGTAGAGATCGCACATTCCCAACTACCATTTACATCCATTTATTACAGGAGGATACAATTACAATATTGCCCGCTCCCAAGAGTATTCTAGAACATACAAGAAAACCCTAGAATTTGAAATTCTTGAGGTCTGCCCACTCGTTCATGGATTAGTCATGATACTTCATGCAGAAACCTTCGAGAGCGATCCAATTCTCTGAGTCGTGACATTCTCAGACAATGACGGTGATCGACCGATGTCCATGCCGTTTTAATTTAGAATTCTTAGCTAGCAATTAGCAAACTTAAGCTCTAATTAGCTTATGCTATAGTTGATAAAATCAATTTAGATTTAGCTTCACTTTAAAAAAAATTATTTGGGCATCTTAATATAGTCCCACTCTTAATGAAAATGATTAGAATTAGAATCAACGTTGACATGGCCATGTTTACATTTTTACTTAATGGAGAGAGCAGACAAATCGAGCCCTCTCAAGGGTTGTGCCTTTTTTTAGGTTTCTTGTCACGCTCTTTTTCTATACAGTGCCGATATTTTTGCTGATTGGATAACGTTAATATTTGAATTTCTTTTCTTAATGTTGTATTTCATCTTTTTTCGCTCTTTTTTTAATTTTGTTTCCCGATTTATCAATGGAAGCTCATCTACATCCATTTATCACAGGAGGGTACAATTACAATATTGCCCGCTCCCAAGAATATTCTAGAACAAACAAGAAAAAAATCCTTGAGGTCTGCCCACTCATTCATGGATTAGTCACGATCCTTCGTGCAGAAACCCTCGAGAGCGATCCAACTCTCTGAGCCATTACATTCTCAGACAATGACGGTGATTGACCGATGTCCATGCCGTTTTAATTTAGATTTCTTAGCTAGTCAATTAGCAAACTTAAGCTCTAATTAGCTTATGCTATAGTTGATAAAATCAATTTAGATTTAGCTTCACTTTTAAAACAATTATTAGGGTATCTTAATATGGTCCCACTCTTAATGAAAATGATTAGAATTAGAATCACCGTTGACATGGCCATGTTTACATTTTTACCCAACGGAGAGACCAGACAAATCGAGCCCTCTCAAGGGTTTTGCTTTTTTTTAGGTTTCTCGTCGCGTTCTTTTTCTATACAATGACAATATTTTTGCTGATTGGAATAACGTTAATGTTTGAATTTCTTTTCTTAATGTTGTATTTCGTGTTTTTTTTGCTCTTTTTTTAATTTTGTTTCCCGATTTATCATTGGAAGCTCCATAGACAACGTGAAGTTACGCAAATACCTTGCTGTCCGTGCGATTTTGCCAGGGGTAGATGTGTAAATTTGGTGAGCGCAAGTGATCCGCGTGGGGCTTGGTTGGCAATGCGGAGTTCGCTTCAGCACTCAACTTTCTAAGCTACACAATCTAATATATAAGAAGATACATCGGTATCGATTTTTAAATCATTGACTACTTTAAGAGAATTTGTTTATATATATATAATTTAGTAAAATATATTTAAAACTTTCAAAATATTGATTATACAAGAGATTTCGATGAATGTACAACCATAAAACTTTCCCTAGTGCTTATTTGCTCTAAAAGGAAATGCATTTAAGTTGTAAGAATAAGTTTGTACAACTATAATGTAACGAGATAAACAAGTTTCTCGTGGCACAAATAATAGCCATTTTGTTCCTAGGAACAATTTATTCCTTAGACAAGTTTCTGAGCAGAGAAACGCATTTGATGACGACACAAAATTTATGTTCCTTTAAAGAAATTCGTTTAATAAAAGCATAAAATTTCTATTTCCAAAATTTTGTTTCCACATTATGTTCTCCTTATGTCGCAAAAACAGGGTAGACAAGCGGATTTTTCCTTTAATGCCGCAAATGATGATCTTTTAAAACTAATAGGAAATCCTCAAATACAAATAATGGAAATCCTCATATACAACGTCGCAACGACCCAATTGCAAGAGCGGAGCTCTACCAACTGAGCTATATCCCCACGAGCCAAGTGGAGCCTCACATTACAAGAGCCAAGATACGAAATCCTCAAATATAAATTATGGAAATACATTACAAAAGTCGAAAACACAATTTCATGGAATCTTTGGCATATTATGATCCCTTGCCATTTGATTGGCAATACTTTTCCTAAGCATGTTCGTCCCAGTTCCCTCATCGGTTGATGTATCGTCTATAACCTCATCTTGTATAGGTCGAAACGGGTACTCCGGATCTCCATATATAAATTTTTTTTTATCCCTCTTGTCTTGATCACGGATGTAATTATGAATAACACAACATGCAATTATAATATGTGCTTGCTTTCAAATTGTAGATGAAGGCATGTGTCTCAAAATGAAAAAGCGATTTTTTAATGCCGCAAATGATCTCTAAATGACATGCCTTAGCGAAAAATGCCTATAGTTGAACAATTTTCTTGCTCTTCTTGGCCGTCTCGCTCTACCCTATAATGGCACTGAACATCTAGAGATGGTTTACCAATTCAAGCGCAGGATCTTTGATATAAAGATCGCATCAATGTAATGTTCTATGACTGCTAATAAAGGAAAATAAGTGAAGAAAATTGAAAGAGAACATCCTCATATCAGATTGTACAAGCTGCTAAAAACACCAATTGGCAGCAAAAATCTCAAAAAGAGGAATATCAATGCCGCTAGAGTTGATCATTGTGGAACTTGAAAAAGAGGAAGAATGCTCAAAGTGTCATACAATCCAAGATTGCAAATGATATATTAGGCTGGGGGGAGTTGCATAAACTCCATGGTCGGGGAAAAAATGTAAACCATCACTAAAAACAAAAGCAGGGAGGAGGATAATTGGATCCTTTTCATTGAGAATAGCAGCCATATGATCATGTGAAGTTGCAATAAATTGGAACGTAATTTTTCTGATCACGAAAAACTCCAAACTAGTACACCTGCGATAAATTTATTCAAAATTAATTTTTTGATCATCAAAAACCCTAAACTAGTATATCTGTGATAAATTTACCCCAAACGAATTTTTTGACCAACAAAAACCCCAAACTAGTACATTTGTGATAAATTTACCCTCCGTTAATTTTCGTTAAATTGGATATATACCAGGAAAAATCACAAACCGGTACATTAGTGACAATCAGAAAGTAAGACATCAAATTGGTGCACCCATCAACTGCCACGTATCATTCAACTCAGCAATTTTATCAGTTTGGGATTTTTGGTGGTCAAAAAATTAATTTGAGGTAAATTTGTCATAGGTTTACCGGTTTGAAATTTTTTGTGGTATTAACCCTTTTTGAAATGCAAACCAACCATCTCCTTGGATTAGCATGTGGTTTAATTACATGTATAAAGGTGTTGTTAACATGTGGGAAGAATTTGAAGTCTTGCATATGGTTGTGGATTTTTATAACTTCGGCCGATTATTCTTCATATTTTTTTCTTGTCTTGGATATATATGAGGCCAATTAATCATTAATTCGCATCACACAACTAAATTTACCACAAACCAAGATACTAGGGTTTGAGTTTTGTTTTCTATTTCTTTTCTAATCGATTGAACACCATGTCTTCACCTTATTTAAGGCGCCCTTGCAAGTGACTAGTTGTTTCATTAGATAAATGTGGGTAGCCGGGTTCTTCGAGTACCCGGTAATTTTAAGTGAGTAGTTAATGATCGTCAACATTGAATACTTAGATTAAACCTCTGAAATAACTATTGGATTATGCGCGAATACTTAGTTGGAGATTAACGTATGCATCTCATGATTTGAATTGGTGATTTCAGCGGCTGTATCTATATCTATATCCAATAAAAGATACAAATTGCATATCAGAATGTCATGATTTTCTTATTTCGTTGTCGAACCTTGAAATGACCTTATCATCATCACATAAATCTCGAGAACAAAATATTTACTAAAGATTGTTCATTTCAAATTAAACTACCCCTTACATGAACTGAGGCCCAAAACTAATAATTGAATTAGAACAAGACAAAATTAAAAGTTGATTAATATCCAAAGCTAATTGGCAGCTGAATTAAGAAGAACGTAATTCCATTGCTTT